AGACCGAGACCAGAAGAGAGGCTAGCTAGTGTCCCAGTTAGCAATTCATAAAACCAAATTCCCTTTCTGATCCTGTTGTGAAGGATAATAATTTATGATCTTAAGAAATGCTCTGTGCTTTAATTAGCAGCATCAGGATGGTGGAATTCAAACCTATTATTTACTGCCAGTTTCTAATGAATAATGAAGGCAAAGGAGCTTTATTCAAACCATTAATGCTTGCATTCATTATTAGAGCTTTAAACAGGACCCTAATTAATTCACCTAAGGTTCTTCCTTGAACTTCTTACCGTGTATACATCACACTCACATACACACACACACACATGCGCACACACACACACACACACACACACACACACACACACACACGCGCACACACACACACACACACACACACACACACACACACACACACGAGTTCCTTTCACTGTCAGGGTCCCAGCTAACGTCTCTGTAGTGTTCTCCCTGGTACTCGGCACACGTCTGAGCGAGTCTTGAAGCCTGGTGGCAAATGCCATCATGGTCTTCATTCATGAATTTTCTGGAAACTTCTTGGAGGACAACTTAATGATATAAATGGAAGCTGAAAATTCAAATACCCTTTGACTCACCAATTTCATAAGCAAAATTTTTATTCCAGATATTTGAGAATTGTATACATATAAAGAATATTTATTAAAACACCTGAATTGCCATCCTGGTTAAATAAAACACGGCACAGCCATCTCATGAAACAGCACCATAAGTACTGATATGGAATGATCTCCAAGATATATTGTTAAACAAAAAGAGCAAGGTGCAGAACAGATGGTGTGCTGTCATTCTGGATGTTGAAGAAGAAATTGATAGTATGATTGCCTCTTAAGAATTAAAGAGAGATTTCTCACTTTTGCAGCTTTTGGGTTTTGTACACTGTAAAAGCACTATTTATTCAAAATAATAAGAAGAAGTTTCCTATGACGCAACACATTAAGGTACTGAGTTGCAATAGGAAGTAAGGACTGGAAAAGCTATTTTACACTGCAATCTTTGAGACCTTGAGAATACAAAGTGTAGCATCAATAGCACCAATAGCCTCTGGTTTGTTCATTTGCATCATTCAACACACATGGATGCAAACTACATAAAAGATCTTTAAAATTCAAAGACATGTGACTCAGTCCCATCCAGCCCATATCTAGTAGAGACAGACAGCTAAAAATTAATGTCTCCTTATAAGGTATCAAAATATATGATAAAGCTATAGTAACCAAAACAGTGTAGTATTGACCCGGAAATAAGCAAAGCGATCAAGAAAATCTACTACAAAGGACAGAAGTTGACTCATGAATATGTTTAGAAACTTAATACATAAGAAATGTCATTTCAGCTTGGGGGCATGGATGAATAGAATATTATTCATTAAATAGTATGGAGCAGTGGACTTTCAATTTGGAAAAAGAAAGAAAATTAGGTAATACCCTCAAACATCATAAAATTAAATTCCAAGTAACTTTAACAGCTAAATGTAAAAAATAAAGCTACAGAATAACACAAAATATAAAATAGAATATGTAAATAACCTTGGCATATGGATGGTCTTCCTGAGAAAGATAAAAACCAAAAGCAAAGAATGATACATTTGACTACACAAGAATACAAAATTTCTTATAATTAAAGACACAATAAGCAAAAATTTTTAAATGAAGTGGAGAAATATATAT